CCCCTGGGTCCCCGGCGTAAAGGCACCGGCCCTGAGGAAAGCGAGCCAGCGCCACCTGCTGGAGCTGCCTGGTGGTGCGGCCGTGGACCCCGGGCGCCCGTCCGCTCCTCCTTCGCGGACGCGAGTGCAGGCCGGCAGGTTGCCCTCTGTGTCCCGAAGGCCAGCCCCTCCCGGCCGGGTGGGAGGCCTGACCCCTGCCCTGCCCGGCACCCTGCGCAGCCTCCTGCCCTCTCCGAGCCTCAATTCCTGTCTGTAAAGGAGGGGTAGCCGCACCTCCTAGGCCCTGAGAGCGATGGGGTGGGACAGGCCTGGCAGATGCCCAAATGCGAAGGGCAGCCCGCCCTGCGGCTCACACTCCCGCCGCGGGGGAAGCGTGGCCACCCCGTTGGAGCCCCGCTTCTGATGAGTGCGAAGCACTGATCTTTCGTCTTCGGCCCAGATTGCTGAGGCAGAGAGAAGTCAGCCGTGCCGAGAGGCCCCCCGCACCGGAGCAGTGTGTTAGCCACATGAGGCGAGGACCCCGCCCCAGCCTGGGGCCCTCTTCCACAGCGCGGTGGCCGAGCCAGGCCCTCGTGACAGTGCCAGGAAGGAGGCAGGTGTCCCTGCAAGGAGGACAGCAGGGAGCAGATGGTCCACACACCCGGCCACACCTGTCGGGTGAGGCCAGGACCTCAGAGCCCTGGGGGATCCGCCGCTATTGGGCCTTGACTCCGAGATCCTCACTGTGGGGTGCGCACACTCCTGGGTGGATGGCGGCGCTTGGAAGCCACCCTCACACCCTGTCTCTCACACAGGGAGGGCTGCAGAGCTTCGGGTGCCTGCGGGTGTCCTGTCGGTCAGCAGAAGGTCCAGGAGCCACCACAATTTTGATGCCTCCTAGAGCAAGTAGATTTCATTAGTTAAAACTAGGAGAGACCTACCAGGCCACCCTTCATTTTACAAGCAGGCACAGGGGAATGCCCGTCTCACAGTCAGGAGGCACAGAGGCAGCCTGGGGGGCCACCGCGCTGTCAGTAAAGAGTCCCAGGCTCAGGGCTAAGGAGCTGGCTGCCCGGCTGGGTAGAATCATTGAGCTGTCTCTGTGCAGGTCCCCAGGCCAGCATGCGCCGGTCAAGTAGCTGTCATAGGTCTCTGTGACTGTTGTGGTAGAAGCAGAAGCAGCGGGGGAAAGGGGGCTTGTTGGCCGCGATGTGCCTGGGGCGGCCCTGGCCCCTGCCGGTCGTCCCGGTGAGGAAAGCGTCGGCCACCTTGGTGGGCAGAGCCACGTCCTGCCTCCGGATCCCTGCCTGCGACTCTCCCAGGCCTGTGCCTCAGGAGGGCGCGGGGCCTGCTGATCTGGGGTCGGTCCCTGCCCTCCGGCTTCTCTGCTCCTGGGTCTGTCATCTGTGAAGGCCCTCCGGGGCGGCTCAGCACTTGCTGCGGCTGTCGGGGCTGCCAGTGTGGGGAAGGCCACTGCCTTGGGGCTTGGGGGTGGCTCCCAACAAATGCCTCTTCCTCAGGGAAAAATGTCTTGAATGGGTTTACTGTGACCTCAAATTATAGTTTCAGACCGGTTGGTTTTTTTTGTTATTTTTTGTATTTATAACCACCACTGAGTATCTTCTGGGCTTTAGTTTTTGCTTTGAAAAGGATATCTCTAGGTCTAGGACCCCTCCACTGACTAGGAACGTAGATCAGAGGGGTGGTCCCAGGGGCTTTCTGCCTGCCCAGTGCTAGACGCCATGTCCAGGTTCAGGTCCATGTGTGCTCGGCCAGGCTGGGCAGCTGGGGTCAGTGCCCAGGAGCTATGGCTGCAGAGATGGTTCATCTATGACCTGCCAGGCCTTGAGAGGGACCAAGGTGGGAGTCTGAGAGCCAGCACACACGTGCATCCATGGATGGACGTCACCAAGTACAGATGAGGGGTCTTAACAGCAGGGGAAGAAAGGAACGGGGTAAAGTCAGGTGCCACAGGCAGAGGGGCGGGATTGCACGCCCTGGGACACCCTGTTCTTGAACAATCTGGACTACTGGAAACATAGAAATGTCCAGGGAGGGCGTCCTCCACAGAATAAACCTTCCAGAGAGGAAAGCTCTGCAGAGTAAACAGGTGCTGTGATAGGCCAGAGGCGTCCAACTGGGTCACCTGCAGCTGGCAGGGGTGAGGGTGGGGAGTCACCCGGCCTGATCATGGCTGCGCTGTGAAGTCCAGCCGTGGAGCCCCTTGAGAAAGTTCTGAGGGAAGGGTGCAGACCACATGGCCTTCCTCTCATCGTCCCTGAGAAGGAATTAGCCTAGAGGGAGGAGCTTCCCGCAAGCCTGGTGTTCAGACATCCAGCGTCTAATGTCCTGGATGTCCCCAGCGTATCCCCTTGGCTTCGCACGGCATTCTCCCTCCATCTTGCCCACAGGCAGGCTCACTCCAGGTCGTCCCCCGTGCCCATGTCAAATGGTCCTCTCCCAGAAGCCCTCCCTCAGCTTTGCCTGAGCAGCTCTCAGACTGCTGGAGCCATTCCCTCTTCTCAGGACCCAGAGCAGGGACCTGTGGCCTGGCCCCTGTGGTCCCACATGCCTGGCACATTGGGACAACAGTGCATGTGGAATGGGTTAGTGATGTGAGAACCCTTTCCTGCCTCTGGCACTTCATGGGTTCCAGTTGGAAGACATAGTGGCCTCCACACTTGTGCCAGGGAGTGCCCGGTCCTTCCCCGCCCTCTGCCCAGGCCTTTGTCTCATTCGCTCACCCACCAGGTAAGACCCCGGCCCTTGTGGGTTCTGCATGCTTTGCATCCATCCTCTGCAGCCCTGGCACTCCTTGCCTGTGGGCAGAGAGTGAGGCCCAGGGCCTAAGTGACTTGCCCCAGGCTGGGATTTGCACCCAGCAGGTCTGTCCACTGCATACCTCCCCCTCGCTGCAGACATTTTCCTCCTCTGAATTGCCCTTCCCTCTCTCCTCCTCCAGGGCCCACCCAGCCTGATGTCCTGTGCTCTAGGGACCCTGCTCATCAGGGAGGGGCCAGGCAGGCCCTCTGATGTGACTAATGTTTTGGAGTAAGCCGGTGCTTTAGATGAGCTGACCGAGCACCGCGTACCTCCCCTGGGCAGGTCGGACTGGGCTGGTCCCCTAGTGCCCCAGAGGAGGGCTCATGGGATGCTCTCGAGCTGGGGTCTCCTTTTATAGTTCGGTGCATGGGGTTTGTGGAGCATCCCTTGGCCACCGTGAGAACCTGCTGCCACAGCCCTGTCTGGGGACACGGCACTGCCCCTGGATGCCAGCAGCGGTGCTCATCACACGCAGGTGCCTCAAGTGGGGCTATAAGCCCACAGTGCAGGAGCCTCCACCCAGAGAGTGAAACGAGAGATACCCAGGGAGAGGCACCACGTCCTGCTGCCGCCCCACCAGGCTGGCCTGGGCCACACTGGCTTGAGGCCGAGAACCCCGTCTGCCGAAAATGTGCACACGCAGGGGCCTGTGTGCAGGAACATGCGGTGCTGGGACAGACACTGTGTGTCACGCCAGGCCGTCTCCTCTGGGGAGCAGTGCGGTGCTGTCTCCTTCAGGGGAGGGCTGCTCTTTGTGATTATTCTGTGAAATCAAGTGCACCTCTGAGCGCCACTCCAGGGTTATCTGTGCTTCACTGGCTCTGACGGCAGAGACACACTGTACTTACATGTTTTCTGGGTGAGTGGACATGAGGGGGCTCTCGGGCCCTCCAGCGCCTCTGCGCTTCCTCCTCTTGTGGGAGCAGGGACGGGAGGGAGCCTAGGGTGCTCCCCTACCGGGCTTGGCACAGCCCTGGAATTTAGGGCCAAGTGGACATAGGTGAGCAGACCAAGAAGGCTTGGGGAGGGCCAGGGAGAAGAAGCCACACCTGGAAGACACAAAGGGATCTTTCATGTCATCTCTTTATACGGGTGTGAATCTGGCCTGGCCAGGAGGGATTTTCCCCTGGGAACCAATGAAGGAGCCGCCTTCCCAGCCCAGGGTGCTGGCCAAGGCTGGGTGGTGAGGGACGCCCGGTGGCCCTGGGTGCAGCTTGGGTGGTCAGACCCCTTCCTGTATACGAGTCCATGAGTGCGCAGCAGACTCTGCCGCCTGTGCACTGTGCAGACCGAGGCGAGGGGGCCACTGACCACCAGTGGCCACCCAGAGAGCATCACCACGCTGGCCGGGCAGCCCTGTCTCGCCGCTGGAGAAGGGCATTCCCCCCACTTGCTGTCTCTTCTGCTCACCTGTGCAGCTTGTCCTCTGTATGTCCCCAGACTGACCACAGTGCCTGGCAGGTAGCCGGCACACAGGAAACGTTTTCCAAGTGAATGAATGAATGAACCAATGAATGTTCCCGTCCTGTGAAACCTGGAGTCCTTGGGATTGAAAATGCCATCTGTGCTAATAAAACTTTGCCTGGAAATATTGGATCACAAATTAAAAAGTGAAACAGAACCCCGCAGCCACACGTGGACCCTCTGGAGTCGCTGTCTGGTCAGCCGCCCCCTCGTCCCCTCCTGATGGGGCTGGAGCCTCAGGGCCTTCAGCCATGCTGGGGCTCAGGCGGGCGCCGAGTGGCTGAACTGAGGCCCAGATTGGGGCCAACACACCCCTTGTCTGGTCCGTGGCTCCCACCCATAGATCCGTGGCCGCAGGGCACAGTCCTCCCCATCAGCTTGGCGGCTGCCACTGATTCTAATGGTCCTCACGTTTGCCTGCACACAATCGTCCCATGCAAGGATGTAATTAGATCTTTTGAACGGCACTTTGGGACAGTTCATAATGCAGAGAAACTCCATAGAAATGTAAGCTGTTGTGTGCAGCCGCTTCACCCCGCGGTTTCTGTCAGCGCTCGCTGTTCTGCGAAAATTACCGGAAAGGGAGGTGAAGGGGTGACGCGGGGAGGGAGGCCAGGCCGGGTCCTGCTGTGCAGCCTCCAACCTGCCTTTCCCAGGGACGGGGTGCTCCGGAGGGAGCGGCGCAGCCCTGCTGCCCGCGTGCGCCCTGGCTAACCCCCGGCTTCTCTCCCCAGGAGCTGCCAGAGCATGACGAGCTTGGCCAGCAGCACTGTGTCGCCCATCAAGGATGGGGCCTCCTCTCTCCCCCGGAGGCAGAGCTCGTTTGCTAGGTCCCCGCTCCGCGCTCTGTACGACCTGCTCATAGCACCGATGGAAGGGGTAAGTGTCCCTGGGGCCGCCAAGCTTCTAGGCCTCAGAACACAGCTGACCACTCAGTGCCCTCCTGTACCCCTTAGATACAGAACGGGCCCAACACAACCAGAGATTTTCCAGAACATGAGTCTTTTCTGTCCAGCCTCATGGTCAGCGTTTGGAAGCTAAAGTGGACACATTGGCTGTTCCTGGTTGGCTGCTGCTTAGTCAATGAGGCCCTGAGCTTCCAGCTGTCAGAACCGGGTTCAGGCCCTCTGTCTGCTCTTTAGTAGCCAGGTAATCTGGCCTCAGTTCCTCAAGTACAAAAGGAAATGATGCCCCCTTCTGTCGTGCTCATCGGACATTGGGTGGCGCAGGGAGGGACAGGGCTGTGCACATCTCGGCAGGTGTGCCATCCGTGTGCGTCCCGAGCAGACACTGTGGAGACGTGCCCCTGGCTCTGCTGTGCCTGCAGGGAATGCTTGCCCACCTCCCCAGCTCTCATGCAAGGGTCCTACCTAAGTAACTTCAGGCCAGGGCTGTGTTTTCTGGTGAGAATGGATCCCTCGGCCTCTGTCACTGTCAAGAGTCACTGACTCTATCCCAAAGTCCAGCGTCAAAGACCTCACTGCGCTTGAGATTTCTCAAGAAAGTCGAGAGCAACTGCTGACAGGTTTCTGTGGGCCTGGTCTTTGCACGTCCTTTTTCAATCCAGATCTGGCTCCCATGCATGGGAGATGCCAAAGGGCTCCTGTCTCAGGAATCTGAATGGTGAGCCTGTCAGATGCCTCTGTGTAACACTGTGTATGAGTTAGCTCTGGCTGCTGTAACAAAACACTATGGACATTTATTTCTCATTGTTCTGGAAGCTGGAGGCCACAGGTCCGGGTGCCGGTGTGGTCGGTGTCCTGGTGAGGGCCCTCCCCTGCCCTCATCCTGGCATGCAGACAGCCACCTCCTCACGGCATCCTCGTGGCCGAGACGGGGTGAGAGAGCTCCTCTTCTGAGATGGACACTAATCCCCTCACGGAGGCCCTGTCCTCACAACCGCATGGAAATCCAAAGATCTCCCAAAGGTCCCACCTCCAAATACTATCATGCCTGGTGTGGGGCTTTAGCATAGCATTTGGGAGGACAGACGTACAGTCCCCTAACAGACAGAGTGGAGGCCGTGCTCCTGGGTGGCCCAGCTCTCAGGCGGAGAGAGTTGTGACTGACGGGCCCTCAGGAAGTAGGTGGCGGCCCATCCCCACTGGCCAGCGGGTCCCTCCTCCTGCCGCTGTCTGCAGCCGGGTAGGCCTGTCTCACAGGCGCTGCGTGGCCCCGCAGCCCCTCTTCGTTCTGCCTCAGCTGACTGGCAGAGGTGAAGCACGCCCTCTGGAAACCGCACTGTGGCAGGGATCCCTTCGCCCCAGGAAGTGCCCGTGCCTCCTGTTTTCCGGAGGCTGCACCGCCCATGCCCTCCAGACTCCCCTGGCTTGGGATGGGGCGTGGCTAGCACAGGCCCCTGGGGAGCTGGCAGGTTGGGCTTGCATCGGGCACTTCTCTGTCCCAGCTGGGTGACCCTGGCCAAGCTGCTTCCTCCTTAAGCACCTGTGTCCTCATTAGAAAATGAGGGCACGGCCACCGGCAGTGTCAGGTGAGGGCAGGGATGGGATTAAACAAATGTGAAAAGCATGCGGGCAGCAGCTGCAGCGAATGGCACCAGATTCCAGCCTCTGAGAGTCGCTGCTGCCGTCCGACTCTGGGACACACTGGGCTGCCCTGTCCCTAGAATTATTATCTGCTCTGTCCTCTTCCTAACGAGGGACTAAGACTGCAGAGAGCGCTCCAGCTCAGAGCATCTCAGATGCTGAAATAACTTAGCCTGATTTATGTGCCATGTCTCAGAGAAGAGATACACACCTCTGCACTTGGACTGACTTTTCAAGTTTTCTTTACTGCCATCAACTGTCACACAGACCACTTCGGTGGCCTACTAGCAGCTCCCTGCATTTGCCCTGTGCCCTCAGCCTTCCTGAAGGCTTCTGGGCCTTCCATTCTCTCACTCACTCACTTAGGCCTTCGGAGTCCTTGGCTTTTTCTCCTTTGCATTCAGGTCCCAGATTACTTGTTCTGTGAATGTTGAATTGGCTGGTGGGGAGGGTTGGGGGGCAGGGAGCAGAGGGCAGAGATGGAGACAGGCTGTGACCCTGTGCACCGAGAGGACAGGTCGTCTGGGGCTGCTGAGCTCCTGTCCTCTCTCCGACCCAGCCCAAGTGCCCTTTCCTCTTTGAAGCCTTCCTTACCCTCTTCTCACCCCTGCAGCCTTCATCCCCTGCCCTGCCGCTGGGCCTCATACCTATCTGATGTCTTTCATGGAACCTGATGCTTCACTGGACTCGGGCCTTAGCTCTTGGCTGGCCCTTGTTCCCTCCCTTGCTGCCCACCCCACATTGCCTGAGGGCAAGGACGGTCCCTCCTCTCTGGGTCCTCAGCAGCTGGCACAGGGCCTGGTACATGTTGACACTCAGTATAAGTTTATGGGATGGTATGTGGTCCAAAGCTGCATTTGCTTTTTGGGTCTAGTCTGCCATACAAAGCAGAGGACTGAAGGCAGGAACCAGCTGATGGATTTTCTGTGGTCCCACCTGTGTGTGGCACCTGTGGAAAGCTGGGGGGTTCCTGAGGGGTCATGAAGCAGACAGAGGGGGGCAGGCCTGCTCCTGAGCAGCTTTGTATCTGGTGAGCACCCTGACCCTGCCGGCCAGCTGTGCTGGGCTTCTGGCTTATTTTCAGGGCAGGACCAGGAGTCAGCTGACAGGCCTGCAGGGCTGCAGGGGACCCCCGTGCACTGTTGTGCTGGCTGCTGGCCTGTTGAGCTAGGCGGTGACTGGGATGGGGCTGCGTGCCCAGGGCAGAGAGCCTTCATTTCAGGTGGAGAGCTGGCGAAGGGAGGCTGGGGGTGGGGACAGGCTGCACTCTCCATCCACGGATGTTTCCACTGAGAAGCTGCTACAGCCACAAGCCATCCTGGAAGGGGATTCTATCTATACACTCATAAAATCTGCACTGTGTTTAGATAGTTCTCCCTGAGGACTTTCCCTATGACTTTAAGAATAAAGGTAGGTCATTGGGGTCAGTGGGAGTTTGTGTCTGGACATCTGTGTCCTGCTGGGATTCTAGGAAGGGGAGATTCATGGACTGGAGCCTCCAATGAGTTGGCACAGTGACTGAAAGCATGTGTTCACAAAGTCAACTAGGGAAGGGAAAAGCCCTCACCAGACTTGTGTGCCGGCCACACCTACAGGCTGCACGCCGCCCTCTGCGTGCAGGAGCCACGCCGTTAGAACAGGCATGCATGTAAGGGCCACATGCTCGCCTACAGGAAGTGAGGCCTTCAGTTCGAAAGCATATCCCTAGTTCCTGATGTTAAAGCTATTCTCTTCTGTGACCGAGGTTTGAACACAGTGAGGGAATCTGGCTGCTTCAAATGAGACATGGAGTGCAGCCAGCCAAGAGGCCCAAAAAGCAAATGATCAGAAGTAAATGCTGCTAACTAAGGCGATCCATTGGGTTTCAGTAAAAACACATAAATGAGAGGTTGGGATCTCATCAGGAGTCCCTGCTGTTCCCCAGTTCATCCACCTGTTAGATGCGTGCTTACTGACATGTATGGGGCACACACCGTCCTGGACATGGAGGAGCGGGCTGGGAACTGGCAGTGGCCTGGTGTCTGCCGCTACAGGCTGGGCTCAGGCCGGGTGGGTGGGCCAGGACCGAGGCTGGTGGGCTGCACTCTGAGCTCTGGAGGTCCAGTCCCACCGCCTGTGCAGAGCTGCCCAAGAGGAGCTTGGATCACCTGCTTCCCAAGCAAGCACACGGGCCTGTCCCCGGGGCCACTAGAGGGCGACACAACACCGCCGGCCGTCAGCTGCTACACAGAGCCAGACCCTTTTACACATTTTCTATGAAAACACAAATCCAAACCGAAAGTCCAAGATTATGAATTACTGACACTGTAAGACTAAAACGATTAGCCCCTTCACATGGGGCTTATAATTATTTGAACAGCTGCCTTTGTTTAGCCGCAATCCTGTTGCTAAGGGACTAGGTCAGACATGAAAAGTAGAACAGAATAATATTTTACCTTAGGCTCATACCAGTATTTGATTTAATTTGGCTTAAGGGGAACACTGCCGTGGCTCCTTACTGGGACCACACTGTCCTTCGCTGTCAGGATGGGGTGAGCATGTCCAGTTATCTTTGAGGGGGGCCCAGTTATATCTGCACATGAGCCATCATCAAATATTAAGTCAAATGCTGTCTGCTACCCAAAGGAGAAAATGCCACCACAGAAAAGGTGCGAATGTTCAGTGTGAAAGGGATCGGGCCCTGGTGGCATCTGTGGTATTCATTCTGAATCAGACTAGAGTGAAGGACCCTAAACCGTGCCTCTGGGCCTGAACTTTCCTGCCTGTGTGGGAAGGACAGATCCTGGGCCGGCGGAATGCGCTAACCACATGCCGGCAGCCGTGTCCCATGGGACGAGTCCCAAGGGCTGCTCCCGGGGAAGCTGCTTTTTGATGAAGCTCTCCCATCACCCCCCCAGTTTGCAGGCAGGGCCTCCATCCGAAGCCAAAGGCTCCTGTAAACAAGGAACCGGATTTAGAATCGGAAATTCCCTACGATTTGGTCAAATCACTCTTCAAAGGTCCAGATTTGGGGGCCTTTCAGGATCTTTGAAGTTTGAACTTGTTCTAGTTAGTTTCTATTGTCCTTAGCATTATTTCCTCTTAAATTCCCTGTTTCCTATATTTATAATCTTAAAAACCAAAGTTGTAGGACAGGTAGCAAAAGCAAATGACCGATCAGAAATGACAGACCATCTACCTCCACTCTTGCTCGGTGAAGCTCCCCGTGTAAGTGGAGCTGCCTGTTTCAGGACCCCAGAAATGTATTAAAACTTGCTGTTCATGTTGGTTAGTCGGTACACCGCCTCCCTGAACACTGGGGCTCCAGGAATTCACCCAAGACCCTGCACGTAA